CTTTTTTTTTTTTTTTTTTTTTTTTTGGTGTTATTTCGGAAAACACCGACTATTGTAGCCGTGGTCTCGCAAGCGAAAAGCTCTGTGGGCAGAAAGAGTCGGGTGCCCTGTCCCGTCTGGGCACAGTCATGGGCATCAACGCTCGTGGCAGGAGGGCCAGGGCTGCGGCTGCTCCAGTGCGTCTTGCTGAGGAGAAAAGAGGCAGAAAGTATCGAAATGAGGGAGGTTTCCCGAAATTCAGTCTTTGTAAGACTCTAAAATGCCAGCAGCAGCTGCAGTCGGTGTTGTGCAGTATGTGCCTGTGGTCCCTGTGCCTGTAACTCACGAGCAGCAACTTTTGTGGCTTGTGTGCTGAAATACCCAAAGGACCCAGTGTGGCAATGTGTGTGTGTTTTGTTTTTTTTCCCTCCTTCCCATATATGGCCTAATCCAAAATAAATTGTGGGTTGTGTATCATGAGGCTTTCCAGCTCAAACAATTTAGCTATGAGGACTTGATTATTTTCTGGTTAAAAGGGCCAAACTAGCACCCATTACTTGAACTTTTTGCTTCTTTCAGTAAGAAGACTCACTATCTATTTTACAGGTTCCTGTCAAATGGGGGCTCTAATTCAGTGCTTTTTTTTCTTCCTAATATGATGACCATATAATAATGTTAATTTTCAAGTCTGTGAGAAGATAACTTTAAGTGGTTATTTTAAAGTAAAATGCTTGAATGGCATTATTCAGAAAGTTAATATTATGTGGTTAAGTGCCCTGCATTCTGTGTATTCCTGAGGTGTAGGTCTTGGGTTTATTTCTACTTCAGCACTCATCTAGCAAATCGCTTTGCAGACTTCATTGTCTAAAAGGAGCTGGTAGAAGCTAGGGGGGCAATTTTGGGTGAGTTTCCCTAGAAGAGCCATTTCTTCATGAATAGAAGCAAATAAAAAACATACCAAGACCACAACACAGCGGGACTCTATTCTGCACGTGCTTAAAGACTGCTGTGTTGTGAGGTTAATTAGAGCTTAATTAGAACTTAGAAGATTTAAAAACCACTTGAGGGCATTCTTCGGTGCATTTTAAAGACTGGTTTACATGGTCACATAACCGTTTTGAAAGTACTTTAAAGGAAATACTTCCTCTTTAGGAGGATGAGGGTCGGTCTGGGACCTCAACTTCATTGTATATTAAGATGTGAATGCAACATGTTTGGGCAATCTTGTTCTAAGTTGACTCTCTCAGAAGCTTTGGGTAGGAAGAGTTGTATACTCCCATTAAATGTAGCTGTTAAGAATATGTATGCAAACAGAAGAAGTTTTTGTATATGTATATTCAGAAGAGATTGTGTTTTATGAATACAGATACAGATACTGGTGACTTCTGCTCATGGTTTCCCTGAGGCTACATAGGAGGCCTGTTCTGTGGCTGCTAAGATACTGATGGATTTGAACTGCTTTCTAATAGTTTTTTGAGACTTTATTCTAAAATGGGAGTTATTTCAGTGTAGCTCATGGTTTAAAAGGGTGTTGTTGGAATTTGGGAGTTTACTTGATAAAGTTATTGTGATTAAAGACAAATCTAAAAACTGAGTAGTACCACTGATCCACAAAGTAAAAAAGGAGCAATAATTCCTGCCTCCCTTCCCCCAAACTGTTGTGTTTTTATTGTGTTTAAATTAAAGCAAGCCTTTGCTACTTCCAAATTGAACCCCAGTTTAGATTCCTGTGTCTAAATTTATTCTGTCTTCTCTAACGCCTAGTGTTACCAGATGTGGCAGAAGATACAGTCTCACCAACTAGAGCTCGGACCATGAAGGACTATGAAAATGTGAGTAGATGTCTAATGTAAGAGTCCACGACAGAATCGTGACAAGGGTATGTCTAACGTGCTGAAGTGCAGACTTTCTGGGCCAGATGTTTGGTTTGTTTCAGTAAGCACAGATCTGTGCAAATGAGGGCATGATCACCTGTGTTGGAATCTTCCCCCTGCCCCCAAGTGTTGTCTCCAAAAATGGAGACAAATTTTGTTAAGTAAGTTGTGGAATGGAAAACAACAACCTTTATGCAATATTGCATGTAACTACTAGAAAAACAAGAATTTGATTTGCAAACCTGCAATTGGTTCTTCTTGCTTCAAGGAAGCATCAAGCTTCCTTGACAGCTCTATTGTTTGAGGAAATGTTAGAGGAGAAAACAACGGGAAATCTTTTGAAGAAGGTTCCTTTACTTAACCACAGGCTGTAGCTTGCTTGCGGTTAGGATATATTCAGGTGTCTGCAGGTTTTACCATGGTTCTATCACTGCTGTTCATACGTGTGTAGGATTATATATGAAATGAACATTCCATTTATTTTTCTTGTGGTTGCTGTTCTCTTCTTACATATGCCTGAAGAGAAAGTTATGTTATTCATTTAGGATTTAAAGCTTGTTTTAGAAGACTTTAGTGAAAGATGTTTTTACAGATGCTACCATTTTTACTTTCTCTTCTGCTTTCCTGTATTGGATGGGGGTTAAATGACATGCTTGGTAGTATTGTGTGACTAAAATCTTGACTATGACATCTACCAAAGACTTATGGGCTTTTGTGAATGCCAGAACTATTATGAAGCTGAAAAAATCGCTGAAGTAATGGAAGAATCCATCAAAGGCACTCAGACAAAGACGTTTCTACAACTGTTTTGAGTCTTTAAGGTTCAGATCGTTGTAGCGGGAAGGCTAAACCTAGGGAAGGGAGCATCCAGTAGTAGCTATTTCGTCCTAAGTTAAAACAGTCTGAGTTAGTGCTTTAAAAGAAGGTAAAGGTTGTAGGTAATTCCTGCTGGGAGATGGCATGTTCTATACTGCTGCAAGGATTTTCTGTTCTTTGACTATGTTATTCATGCAGGATGTAAGGAAAGGAGAGCAAGAGTGGGCTCCTTATCTTGCAGTTCAAAGAAGTGTCATGTAATAATCCTGGAATGACGTAATGGGTAGATCCATGTAGAAAAGGCCCATTTTGTGTTTTTTATGCTGAACTAGATAGTATCAGAAGTGTAGGTTTTAATTTTCCTGTTGCCAGAAAGCAATCGTGTTATAAATACCATGTGCTGTTAGAGATGTGGTTACATGAGCAAAATGAAAGACATCTGTAGCTGAGGAGTTTGTCATGGTTTATTAGGTGCTTTTGAACAGAAGGGACAAACGGCTTCCAGTTAGGGAACTAAGTGATTTTCGTGGGCTTTCTTTTTCTCGTCTCCCCAAACCCACTTTGCAGTCTTTTAAAATGGCCTCTGCTGGCAAAAACTGTACAGTGTGTGAAACCACAGTCTCTGCTGGCAGATGCCATTTTGCATAAAAGTGACTCTAAGCAGACTTGGGAAGGAAGTAAATTGATCTAGGCATGTGGTATTCGCTGCCATGCATGTGGAATTTTCTGTGTAGAAAGTACTTGCATTGTTCTGGTTTTCAAGAAGTCTCTGCTGTTTCTCTCTTTCTCTCTCCCTCTCTTTTTTTTTTTAACCTCGCCCTTCCTCCCTTACCGCAGATACCAAAATGTGAAAGAAGTTAGACTGAGCTTTTAAATGCAGAAGTTGAGAGAACTGTCATTAAAATTTCTCTGCAGTGTTAACTTATTCCCTTTTTATGTGTTGTCTTTTATTAAGCTGTAACTTTTAACTGTAGCCTGCCTGAGTTAACTTTGCTTTGAGAAACTGAATGTCAGAGACCACATTTGTTTCACTTCTTGATGTAGTAGTATGTTTCGTTTGCACTTTGAAAATAATACCCTTAAGCTCTCTGGCTTAATTCTGTTATCCCTGAAATATATGGAAATAGAATTAAGGTAATACTGTATTCTTATGAGATTGTTTTTCCTTTTAACTGAGAAATGTATTCAAGGTGTGAAGTTGAGCTCATACGCCTTTGGAGTATGATTAGAAATGGTCATTGCCAACTTAAGAAAAAAGCTCTGTGTCCTGTTCCCACCAGTTGTGCAAAGTCGTGCTCAACTCAGCAGGACACAGCAGAAAAGAGGCACAGGATCTAGCCCTTGGGGGGTCAATATTGCAGCCTTCTCTCACTGCAGAAAACTTTCATTTTCAGGTTCAATCCAAATAAGGGCTTGGGTTTTGAGCACCTTCCTGCACTGTGCTCTAACTTGTTTCAAAGTTTTGTTAACTTAATGTTTACATCCCTTTGCTTGTTTCAAAGAGCTCTGGTCATTGCCAACTTAAGAAAAAAGCTCTGTGTCCTGTTCCCACCAGTTGTGCAAAGTCGTGCTCAACTCAGCAGGACACAGCAGAAAAGAGGCACAGGATCTAGCCCTTGGGGGGTCAATATTGCAGCCTTCTCTCACTGCAGAAAACTTTCATTTTCAGGTTCAATCCAAATAAGGGCTTGGGTTTTGAGCATCTTCCTGCACTGTGCTCTAACTCGTTTCAAAGTTTTGTTGACTTAATGTTTACATCCCTGTGCTTATTTCAAAGAGCTGTTCCAGTTTAAGTTAGTGTGACACTGTGTTTTAAACATTCACAAATTGTGCACACCATTTAGGGCTGCTTCTCTTGATTGTTCCATCAGAATTGTAGGGGAACGGTGATGAAGTAATGAATTAAATATATGCCTTGCTACAGCTGCTAAAGACAGGCTTTGTCAGCGTGTGAGAACAGGCTGCAGGTCTGTGCAGACCTGTTAGCTACTTGGTTGATCTTGTGTGAATAATGAGGCTTCTTGCTGAGCAAAGCTTGTTTAAACTGAGGAATCGTCCACACATGCACATTGAGTGCAATTACAGAAAATAGTTTTTCTTGGCTTGCACATGTTAGGAACTTTAAGAGGTGTATTGCTAAAAATTTCTGCAAATGGTGCCATGCTGTTGTTCTAGGAAAGCTTACATAAATATTTTATTAGCAGCTCTGTAACATATTAGATTTCCTTCTGCTGAAGGCACCTGACAGGAGACACTAGTTTTATTTGAATGGAAGTTTTATGCTTAGTCTCTAGAGCTCTAGAAGGAGACTTATTAATGAAATCATTAACTGTGTTGCTGCTCCTATTTGGAAGGTTAAAAAATTTATGTTTTGAAGGACAGATATAGAAATAACTCCTTTTCCCCAAGAACTGCATCATAAAATATGGGATGGGGTAAAATTTTTATTGGTGTTGGATCAAGTTAATCTGCCTTACTCTCTTGTGCCTTTTTCTACTAAAGGTTTGGTCAGTAGCCAAGAAAATGCTTCTATTTCAAGGTGTTTTATTTTGTTCAAGTTGTATCTTTTAGGAGGAAGATCTACTTAGTATTGCAAACCAAGAGGTTTAAACTCTTGGATTCTTTGTGCCTAATCTGATACTATTAGAATGTTCTTTCTGGGAGTGCTAAAGAGCATTGTTTATACAAGAGCCTGCTGACAAGTTGAACTAAGCAGTTAACCTCCCAGTTAACACATGTGTGCACATTTAAGTATATAATAATTTAAAGGTAGGTATGCTTATATATCCAGTCTGTATCTGTATTGTTTTAAAGAATACATTCAGGATGACTAGGCTGGAATGTAATTTCAACTTCCTCAGAAAAATGAGCATGGATTAATAGTATGTTATGTCTGGGGGGGAGCAGAAGAGAAGTTCTGTATGTATGTGCTGACACTGCAGCAGAAGATAAAACCTGTTCAAGGGCTTGGGATATTTGCAGTTTCTTGGATGACAGTGTCTTGGAGGGAAGAATGCTCCTATTTGGCTTTAGTTTTTTGTGATGTTATTAAGTGTTCTGTGGTTTGTTGAATTCTAATCTTTATCTTGCACTTGGTGAAAACCAACCAAAAGCAAAAATGACAGCAATTTCCCATGTTATTTTACTTGGATTGAGGAAAAAAAGGTATAGCTTGCTTATTTTCTTCTTATTTTACAGCAAATCACTGATCTGAAAAAAGAGAACTTCAACTTGAAACTTCGTATATATTTTCTGGAGGAGCGCATGCAGCAGAAGTTTGATGGCCCCACTGAAGAAATCTACAAAATTGTATGCATTTAAATAGCTTAATAGAACACTGAACTCTCACACAGAACAAACTCTTACCTGTTTTACTCAACTTTTATTGGGGTATCTTTTGAAATTGAAAAATCTAGGTTAATTTTATCTTATTCAACCTAATTCTTTTCAGTAATAAGGGAATTATAATAACTTGTTTCTCAGTAAAGAAGTAATTACTGCCTGTAGTTATGGGGCAGGCTAAGGGATGTTGTGTGGTTGTGGATCTTTTGAGTTGTGCTACTGAAGTCATATGGAAATCATGTGAAATAAGAGAATGGAGAGTAGAGGATGCAGCATGCTCCCTTCTGTGCTGGGTGTGTAGTGATTCTGCTTGCTGCTCTCGGGGAGCTCAGTTCCATCCTCTGTTCTTTCCTTCTTATCAGATGTCACTGAAGCTACTTGGAGGTTGCTTGGCTGTTCCAGCACTGTGTTAGCAACTTGACCTCTGACTCACTGAAGGGGTCCCCTTCACTCTAGCTGTTCTTGAAAGCTGTTTCACCATTTTTATGGCTGTCTGTTGATTAAAGCAGTAGATCTTCCAGTCCTGTGGAGCTGGCATTGTTTTGATCAATGCATATAGATAAAGCTGTACTAGGGTTGTGTCTAGCTGTTGGTTTTACTGTTCTGAAAGAATGCAGGTTCCTGTGAGATTAGGGAAGCTGTTACTTTGTTTTATATGTCAGGTTGTAGAAACAACTGGTGTTTTTTAATTTAGAAGAAGGATTTTAGTCTCATGTCCTTGTTACTTCAGGGTTACAGGTAATGAGAAGCATTTCTTAGGTCTTTTAGTAGCCTCTGCATCCTTGCTAATCCATTAGTATGTTATATTAGTAACAGGTGCAGCACTATGTCTCTCCAGTTTTCCGTATTAGGAGGAAAATTTAACTCTCTGTGATTGTTGTAATAATTAAGTACATAGATCGATGCTCAGTTAGGTCATGGATTCAACTAAATATTGTTCACTGATCTCTTGTCTTGGTCCTCCATGCTGAGGTCTTCTAATTTCTAATATATTAAAGTTGTTTGTGAACTTGTGGACCAGATACTTCTCTGTACAATGTCTGTCAAAGTTATGAGTAGATTTTCCAGGCTATAACTAAACTACTTTAAAACTTAAACAAAAAATTACCACAGTTTGTTTTTGTTTATTTAATTTTATTTTGTTTCAAGCTTAAAAGAAAGAAACAAAGATAAATCTTCTAGCTCAAAGAAGAGAATCAAGCACATTGCTTCCTAATATAATTGTGTGTGCCTGTATTTGGGGATTTTTATTGCTTGAATACAATGGTCCACAAAGTTCTTTTAAATTATTGAAAGTCCTGAACCTTCCAAGATACTTTCTTTAAAAGCTAAAAGCCATTTTAATCCTTCTGCTCCCTGTGCCACCCTCCCCAAGACTCTCCCTCTTTATGCTATTCTGAGCTCAGTGGAACTTTAATTTGCTTGTCAAAGGAAAAGGTAACCTATATGTGACCTTAACTCTGTAGTATGGTGACCTCTGAATTGTTTTCAGGCGCTTATATTCTTGTATTTTAGAATATCGAGCTGAAAGTTGAGATAGAAAGTCTGAAGCGTGACCTGCAGGAGAGAGAGAAACTACTCATCAAAGCCTCGTAAGTACCAGTACATCGGTAAGTGTCAGATGTTGTGGTTTCTTGAGACTTCCAAGATCTTCTAAGTTAGTATGGGTGTGGTAGCTTTTTTTATATCCCCTCTAGTGCTTTAAGATTGTGAGAGTCCCAAGAAATATTTTGATGACTTTCTCTAGAAGTTGCTTCATTTGGTTGACACTTAGTCTCAGTAATGAGTTTGTGAGCACACAGCGATGTTAATGTAGTAACACCAGCTAGTGTTACTCTATTATGATATATTTCATTACCTGGTGTTTTTCAGGCACATCACTGTAGTTGTGTAGTTGGAACTGGATCCCGAGGACCAGATTAATGTGTTTGGTCTCTCAAGTTAGCTGTCAATACATTGACATGCTTTGAAGGGAACCTTCCACTACTGAAGTTTGTCATAGGAAGCAAAATTAAGGAGAAGATTACAAACCAATTCTTTCTTGTAAGCAAACACAAGGAATTAACAAGGAAGATGTAGTCGGAGAGATTTTTAGGAGTTTCAAATCA